AGATGAGAAGAAGGAGAATGAGAAGTAGGAGAAGAAGAAAGGAGAAGAAGTAGTAATAGGAGAATGAGGAGTAGAAGAAAGGGAAGAAGGAAAAGAAGAAGGCAGAGATTTGACCCTTGATTGTTCTCTAGGCCAAATGTTGGTCCAGACCAGACTGGAGACTAAGGAGAATGAGAAGAAGAAAGAGGAAGATGAGAAGGACAATGAGAAGAAAGAGGAAGATGAGAAGAAGGAGAAAGAGGAAGATGAGAAGAAGGAGAATGAGAAGTAGGAGAAGAAGAAAGGAGAAGAAGTAGTAATAGGAGAATGAGGAGTAGAAGAAAGGGAAGAAGGAAAAGAAGAAGGCAGAGATTTGACCCTTGATTGTTCTCTAGGCCAAATGTTGGTCCAGACCAGACTGGAGACATGACAAAATTCATCCCATGAAGTACCTCCCGGGATATAAATTCCTTGCCCTCCACCATGTGAAACGTGCTTTCCAGGTGCGCTGGTAGACCTTATTGTTTATCACATGGATTTATATCGTGCCCACAATTTACACATTCACATCAGTCCCCGCCCACAAGGAGCTTGCAATCTAAAGTCCCTATCTCACATACATACATGGAGGGCCAATTTTAGTCAAGGGCCAATTAAGCTTCCAGCATGTCTTTGGAGTGTGGGCGGAAACCCAGACAAGCACAGGGAGAACATGCAAACTCCATGCAGATAGTGACCGGGCCAGGATTTGAAACAGGGACGGAGGAGGAAGGAAGAAGTAGAAGAGGAAGAAGAAAGAGGAGAATGAGAAGTAGAAAAAGGAGAATGCAGGAGAAGTAGAAAAAGGAGAATGAGAAGTAGGAAGAGGAGAAGGAGGAGTAGAAAGAGGAGAAGGGGAAGGAGGAGTAGAAAGAGGAGAAGGGGAAGGAGGAGTAGAAAGAGGAGAAGGAGGAGTAGAATGAGGAGTAGTAGAAATAGAAGGAGGTGTAGAAGAAGAGGAGGAGTAGAAAGGGGAGAAGGGGAAGGAGGAGTAGAAAGAGGAGAATGAGGAGTAGAAAGAGGAGAAGGGGAAGGAGGAGTAGAAAGAGGAGAATGAGGAGTAGAAAGAGGAGAAGGGGAAGAAAGAGGAGAATGAGGAAGAGGAGTAGAAACAGTAGAAAGAGAAGGGGAAGGAGGTGTAGAAAGAAGAGGAGGAGTAGAAAGAGGAGAAGGGGAAGGAGGAGTAGAAAGAGGAGAAGGGGAAGGAGTAGAAAGAGGAGAATGAGAAGGATGAGTAGAAAGAGGAGTAGAAAGAGGAGAAGGAGTAGAAAAAGGAGAATGAGGAGTAGAAAGAGGAGAAGGGGAAGGAGGAGTAGAAAAAGAGGGGAAGGAGTAGAAAGAGGAGAAGGGGAAGGAGGAGTAGAAAAAGAGGGAAAGAGGAGTAGAAAAAGGAGAATGCGAAGTAGAAAGAGGAGAAGGGGAAGAAGGAGTAGAAAGAGGTGAATGAGAAGGAGTAGAAAAAAGGGGAAGGAGTAGAAAGAGCAGAAGGGGAAAGAGGAGTAGAAAGAGGAGAAGGAGGAGTAGAAAGAGGAGAATGAGGAGTAGAAAGAGGAGAAGGGGAAGGAGGTGTAGAAAGAAGAGAAGGAGGAGTAGAAAGAGGAGAAGGGGAAGGAGGAGTAGAAAGAGGAGAAGGAGTAGAAAGAGGAGAAGGGGAAGGAGGTGTAGAAAGAAGAGAAGGAGGAGTAGAAAGAGGAGAAGGGGAAGGAGGAGTAGAAAGA